ATAAAATTTATTAGGTTCCCCAAGAGGATCTTCATACCTAATTTACACGATTAAATATCTGAAATTATACAATATTATAAACTAGTTATTTATATACTATAAAATTAAGCAAGCCAACTTCTAAGAAGATGGCTTCTCAAACTACGTTTAAAACAGTTCAGGCTGGCTAAATCACGGAGCTCAGATGGCAATGAGTTCCATATCACCGCGCCTCTATAACAAAATGAATTCTGAGCCAGTGCAGTGCGGCACTTTGCTAGATTCAGGTCATTGGTGTTCCTTGTATTATAATTATGAATGTCTGATCTTTTTTGAAACATATTAATCAGGTAATTCGGTGCTTGATTATTCATGCACTTAAACATTTGAACACCGTCTCTAAGTCTAAAAGCCTCGGATACTGGAAGTAGTTTTAACTCTTTGAGGGTGGGTGTAATATGTTCATATTTCCTCTTTCCTGACAACAGGCGGGCTGCAAAGTTTTGCACTTGTTGAAGTTTAGCAAGATTTGATTTGCTAGTACCTGACCATACCGAGGAGCAGTAGAATAACTTTGTAAAAACAAGCGAGTTAATTACAATGAAAAGTGTAGATTTGTCAAATAGGTGACGAATTCTACTAATCATTGCTAACTTGCCCATAAGATCGCTTGTTAAAGCGTCTGTGTGATCGTTAAATGATAAATGTTTGTCTATTATCATTCCGAGGTCCTTCACCGAATCAACGACAGGTAATTCCTTCCCTAGAAACGTTATCGGCGGGATAATTGTCTTCGCTAGCATTCTATTAGAGCCAAACACACAGAACTCTGTCTTACCAGGATTTATAAGAAGATGATTCTCACAGCACCATGAAGCAACTCGATTCAAATCGTGTCTAAGGTTATCAAGGCCTTCATTTACATCCTTATTCGAAAATGAGATATAAAGTTTTGAATCATCTACATAAGATTCAACGTTGCAAGTCTGACAGACTGATGGTAAGTCGTTTATGTAGAGATTAAACAACAGGGGTCCCAGGATAGACCCCTGTGGAACTCCATGTTTGATTGGTAAAGAATCCGAAAGAGAGTTTTGAATACGTACGCATTGTGTTCTGTCAGTTAAGTAGCTTTGAAACCAAGCCAAGGTTAGATCAGGAATATTGAACTTTCGTAGTTTATCTAACAATCTCCGATGGTCAATGCTATCAAACGCTTTACTCAAGTCCAACATAAGAACGGCTGTCACCTTTTTCTCGTCGATAGCCCTGTAAAGATGACTAGTGAACAGGATTCCCAACGTTTCCGTTGAATGGCATTTCTTATTTCCACTCTGGTGATCAGAGAGCATGTTGTTGGTTGTTAGATAATCAACAAATTGGTCATGTGCTAGTCTTTCCAAAACCTTTGACATTACTGGTAGTAGAGAGATGGGACGATTATTACCGGCTACTTCATGGTCCCCCTCTTTTAGATGCGCCACTACCTCAGCATGTTTCCAGTCCTTCGGGAAACATGCAGTTGAAAGTGATGTATTAAACATGTCTGTAATTACAGGTAAGATGGAAGGGAGACACATCTTGAGAACTTTCATACCAACTTTATCATACCCCGGAGCCTTGTTTGTCGGCATATTCATGATGATGTTTCTTACTTGTTCCTGTGTAACGCAATTGAACAGAAACGGGGCAATGCCATCCACGCATTCCTCAATGATAGAATTGGTAGGGGCAACAGCTTCTAGTTCGTAGTCTATAGCCAACTTCTGGGCTTGTTTTGCAGCAGCTTCGCCAACTGATGTAAAGAACAGATTGAATTCGTTGGCAATCTCTGTACAGTCGCGTGAGTAAGCGGTGGTTGAATTACCGCATGGGTTTAAGCAATGTCGGACAGTTTTCCAGATGGATGTCTTGTTACTCTTGTTCTCACTGATTTCATCTTTCACTAACTGGATTTCTGACAGCATTATCTTCGATTTAACCTCTTGTCGTAGGCCTCTGTAACGCTCCCAGTCACGGGGATTAGATCTTTGATGTGCACGTTTCCGCAATCTATCACGTTCACGCATTAAATCTCTGATCTCTGGAGTTATCACCTTGGATTTGCGATATTTAGATTTAAACGTTTTTACGGGGGCATGCTGTTCTAAAACATCTTGAAAAAGATTATTGAAACAGGAGACCTGATCGTCAGTGTGGTCAAAAACCGTGACGGTATCCCAAGGGATCTTTGATATATCGTTACAAAAAGCGTCTGCATTAAAGTTCTTATAGCTACGAGTTGTAATTGTGACTGGTTTTGTTCGAGGCATTTTCAGGTTCAGTGTAGAGTAAACCAGAAAATGATCGCTAATAGTGATGCTAAGAACGTCAGATTTCTTGACAAGGTCTACATTGGAGGCAAGTATAACATCAATAAGCGTTTGCGATGTCTCAGTTACTCTTGTGGGAGATGAGATCAGCTGCGTAAGATTTAGAGTTGAACAAAGGTCTCTTAGAGCGCAAGATTCGGTGGAGTCAACGAGTAAGTTGCAATTTAAATCCCCTGCTACTAAAATATCTTTGCCGAGCATAACTGCATGGGTGTAAGCTGCGGTCAGTTCATTTCTGAGACAAGAGACAGGTGTATCTGGTGGACGATACGCAACGCAAATTACAAGTGACTTTAGTTTCTTATGTTGAAGGCTTAGCCAAAGCTGCTGGAAACCGCACTGGGATGTTTTCGTGATGTCTCGGAGCACCCTAACTTTCAGAGAGTTTCGGATATAGGCGCATACACCACCTCCAGCTTTCTTGAGCCTGTCTAATCTTATAAGTTTATATCCATCAATGCTATATTCTTTGTTCTTAACAGTAGAATTAAACCACGTTTCAGAAATTGTGAAAACATCAAAGTCACTTCTTAAAATAAGATCATTGACCTGGTGAAATTTCCCACGATCTTTCAGCGAGCGTATGTTGAGATGGGATACTTTGATACAGTGTGGCTGTCCGCAATTGCCGATATTTTCATTAACACGGTTTAATGGTCTCAGTAAGCGGGTGTTAATGGTTATGCCGTTGTAATGACTAGCTGGGGGGTTTCGTTTCTCTCGCGTAGTAATTCTTACGGATATCTGCTCAACAGCATTTTGTTGAAATGGTCCTGGGTTTTGTTCAATATCCCCACTCAGTATTAGTCTCTGTGATGCAGTGGAGTTGCTATAATAAGCAACCGGTCTTTTACACCGTTTGAGTTTTAATCGTAGAGCCTTGGTAGCATTCAGTGTTATTATATAAAATGTACACCGACATGTTTGTATTTGTGCGTATTCATGCGTATAAGTTATGCAAATTCGAGCTGTATTTTGTTTGTTCAAATCATCTTCGAGTTTGCAATCAATGCTCTGATAAATTCTGTAAAATGCGGAAAATATAGCCTTGCAAAGTTTGCAAATTTTGTATACTTTTGTATTGCGTCCAAAAATTGCTACTACTTTCGGCCCAAATGTGGTAGCAATTTCCGCACGCAATACAAAAGTATACAAAATTTGCGACGCTATGTTTTCCGCATTTTACAACATTTTGCAACCAAACTTTGCAATTTTACTCATTTTAACATGCTCTTTCTAGCTGTGGGGATGGATTTTGTTCTTCTTGCCGAGATCAAAATTTAGTATATAGCTGGAATTGCCCATTGCTTCAGGTGACTTACCTTAATGATAACAGCATGAGCAGGCAAGTTGACTCCCCAAGCGAGTGTGGCTGTACACACAAGAACTTTAATCAATCCTTTACCAAACAAATCTTCAACCATACTACGATCACTTCGCAACATTCCTGCATGGTGGATGCAAAACCCATCGGCAAAAAGCTCCCGGAGTTCTTTATTCCGGGACTTTCGAACCTACAGAGGTATAGCGGAATTCAAATATTAATCTCTCTATTATATATACCGTCCTTAATGGTTTTTAAGGCGCATTACAACCCTTTACAACCATAATTCAAGATCAGTGAACTCAATGTTTTAACATTAAAAATGTTAAAAAATGTTAAAAACATTGAGATCACTGATCTTGAATTACGCTTAATTGATTTTCCTAGTTAGTTTTTTCACTGGACGACTTGCGCTTTAGAAAAATTTTTAATCTGGGAATAACAAAGGATATTTTCGGAAAGAAGTTATCAAAATTAAAAAAACTGCAAAGTTTGGTGGCGAAATGTTGTAAAATACGGAAAATATAGCCCTGCGAAGTTGGCAAATTTGTATACATTTCTATTACGTGCGGAAATTGGTAACTAATTTAGTTACCAATTCACGCACGTAATACAAAAGTATACAACTTTGCCAACTTTGAAGGGCTATATTTTCCGTATTTTACAACATTTCGCAACCAAACTTTGTAATATTACTAATTCCAAGACGCTCTTTCTAGTTGTGGTGATAGATTTCGTTGTTCTTACTTAGATTAAAATTTAGTCTAAAGCGCAAGTCGTCCATTAAAAGGTTTGTAATGAGCTTTAAAACTCGTCATTCATCTGTGCTTTTAATAGCCAGGAGCGCGCATATATAGGCCCACTGATGTCGTAAATCAACTACTCTTTACACTATCAAAGTTTCTGTGATCACAGCAGGAATTTTACACGGGTAAACTCTACGTTTTGAAGAATTTGTAAGAAATGTTAGGGGAAACACACTCAGTGTTAAACACCGAATCAGTTCCCTCGAACATTTCTTACAATTCCTTTAAAACTTAGAATTTAATTTAATTAGTACTAGGGATGTGCCGGATACTGTTTTGCCGGATATCGGATAGTAACGGATCAGGGTTGCCAGTTTGGCGTTAAAAGAGCCAAATTTCTCGATTTTGCATGGTTTCTTTTGACTTCGTTTGGCTTCTTTCTATTTTTTGGCTCTTTTTTGCTTCTTTTCGAATAAATACTGAAATAAGCAACTTTTCAAAAGTAGTCTGCCATCCATCAGTAAAAGTTAGTTATAAACTCTGCTGTGTTCGATTACATTATCCATTTATCCGGGATTCCCGATGTACGTAAATATTCGATCAGAATTAGTACCATCTCCCTGGCCTGGGCTTACACGGTTCGCCCCGAACGGCGGGAAAACGAAATTTATAAAATACTTGTTTTTTCTTTACTGTTTTTCGGTGTTGAACGCTTGAATACGGAAGATTTACTCTAAATTTCGATTTTGGCTTCTTTTGGCCGGATTTGGCTACTTTTTACGTATCATTTGGCTCTTTCCGGCTCAGACCACCTGGCAACCCTGTAACGGATAGTAGTCTACCGGATACCGGTCAGGGGCCGGTTGTATAAAAACGTAGTTAGCGCTAACTGCAGTTAAAAAGTAGTTAAAAAGCCTTAAAAAATAGTTAACTTTAATCACGTAGTTAAGCCGGTTGTATAAAAGTGTAGTTAGCCTAATAACTGCAGTTAAAAAGTAGTTAAAGTTAACTATGCTTTAGGGTATAGTTAACTGTCCAAAACGTAGTTAAAAATGGCGTTTGTATAGGAGTGAACATTTTTCAGTAATACAATAATAAAAAGCAACGCTTACCTGAGATTTTCAATCGCTATCTTCCCTGTGAATGTTTCCTGACAATATAAACTCTTCAAACGCTATCGCTTCGGTGTTTTTACGAAAACAGAACATATTTTTGCACAGGACGATTTCTCGAAGACGAAGTATGGTCCATTACACCAAGAAACACTGATATATAATTGCCAAACAGCTAGACCTTGCTTTAACGTAGACATCTCAAGGAAAAACTGCATTCTTTTATGATTTTTGTGGCGGTTTTTCCTTGTCTTCTTTATTTTTCACTACACTGTTTTCTAGTGTTTTGAATAAAATTCCCGCCTATTTGCAAAATGCGAGTCCACAATCATGTTGAAAATGTGTGTCAGCGGTCGTTACTCCCTGCTTACTTTATGTAAGTTTGTGTTTAAACGCCCCACGCAAGCCCCACGCACAGTTAACTACGTTATTAGTTAAGCCTGGTTCACACGATGAAATAAACATAAGCATAAACATAAGAAGAACAAATGTTGCGTTCTTCTTATGCTTACGTTTATACACATCAAAGGTTCCGCTGCTTGTGCTTATGCTTATTTCATCGTGTGAACCAGGCTTTAACTATCCGACTAACTACGTTTTGTGCAACGCAGTTAAGGGCCTGTTCATATGATCCCGCTTACCGGGACGTCTCGCTTACCGATGATCTCGCCGCCTATCTATTTTCCTATAAAATTTTGCATTGTGTTCATATGGGAAAGCGAGCTGGCCCGCTTGCCGAGATCTCGTTTGAATTTGCCGAGATCATAGGTAGGCGGGATGAAAATTTTCCATATGAACACGCCAGCCCGCTTACCGGGATGAAGTGAAACAAGTTGCCGGTTTAATTTAACACTTTTTACTTGGTTTTATGTTTGTTTTGTAAACAAGTATTAAATAACCACCTGAAGCAATACTTTTTCTTGTAAATAAACGAAGAAAAACACTAAAATCACCAAGTATTTGTGTTGCTTGACTGAAATGTAGAAGTTTTGCATACGCTAATTATAGAACTACAATGTAATTTCATCTCGGCAAGCGGGACGAAATACTCCATATGAACGCACGGAAATATTCGTCTCGGTAAGCGAGACGTCCCGGTAAGCGGGATCATATGAACAAGCCCTAAGTCATGTAGTTAACTAATTACAGTTAAGGATTTAACTACAGTGATTAAGGTTCTGGGCAAACTAGGAAACATTGTTTCCTGCCAATGTTTCGCCATGTTTCCCAGAGTGGGCAAACACTAGGAAACATTAGTGAAAAACATAGGGAAACATCAAATGTTTCTGAATTTGGTAGGAAACATTTTTGCTTCTCGGGAAGCAAATTTTGTTTCCGCAACAATATTTCCACGGGTGGGCAAACATGGAAACATTTGAGGAAACATCGAGAATCACAAATGTTTCCACAACAATGTTTCCTAGTTTGCCCAGGGCTTAACGCTAACTACAGTTAGCGCTAATTACGTTTTTATACAACCGGCCCAGGAGAAAATGATGACCGGATACCGGATAATAACCAGATACTCCCATACAATAATTTATTAGAAACACAACATTTTTATAGCCTGCGAACAGGCTCTCAAGCTGATCCAATGTGGCAATGTGTTTAATACAACAACTTCAAGAGTTTTTTGTCTCTTTGACCTATTTGTCTTTACCAAGGCCATATCTTATGATTCACCTTACATTGTTTACTGGTATTCAGTATGTGAGATTCACTGCTGTTGGCGAACGAGCAGTTTACATCACCATCACGAAAAACAAATGTCGTAATTTCGTCGTAATGCAGCGCACGCGCAGTAATTGTTCGTGTTTCACAATTTTTAAACGCCAAGTAAACTTTTCCGTTTCATGGTTGTAACAAAATATTCTTACAGTACTATCCGGTAAATATCCGGCAAATTTATACCGGATAGTGCCGGATGTCTAAATTTTACCGGATATCGGATACCGGTATCCGGCACATCCCTAGAATTTACGTATGTAAAATTTCTACTGTGATCACAGAAACTTTGATAGTGTAAACCAGGCTTTAGGATAAGTTATATTGCCCACCTGTTTTTCAGCTGTACCATACGCTGAAGATTGCTTAGACTGAAATAAACCAATAGTGCCATTGTTCTTCGCTTTCTCTCGTAAAGTCATTGCTGTTCTCACTGTCGCATTCCGTGCATGTACAAACACCATTACCTACAGGGAATAAGAACTTTTAACAGGAAACTGGTGGTCGTGGCACAGTGATTAGTGCATTTCATCTCTGTGAGGATTCGAATATGCAAGTTGTTTGATTATAATTTAATCAGTGAGTTGAATGTGTACATCTACGGTATTTCTGGACGGACAGTTTTGACACCCTGACTAAAACCCTGCTCCTCGGGATAGCAGTTAACTGGAAAATCTATCCAGTATAAAGTTAGTTTAATTTCCTCATACAGTAACACTTGAACAGTAAATTATGAGAGAGCTTAGATGAAACTAATCACGTAAGTTCTATACTCTCAAAATATCCAGCGATTCATACCAGACATGGAAAAAAAAGTGGGATCTCGGGATCCTGTATCCTGAGGAATATTTGGCAAGAAGATTGGGGAAATTTTCAATTTTTCACCAATACTGTACTGTATATTATGGAAGAATGTTAAGGAATCAGTATTGAGATCAATGTGAAATATTGTTCAATGTACGGCCAAATTTTCCATTGTTTTTACGCACTTTCGAGGAACATTTGAAAAAGGGAAATTTAGGATCCAAGGAACATTAAACACTTTTTCCAAGTCTGATTCATACACACCTGATAACCATCATCGACATTATCCAACACTTTATCAAAGCAGACAGTATCCATATCTTGAAACTGACCCATAATATTGCGGGCTTTGATTCCGATAAATGTCTGACCGAGCGGGACTGGACGAAAACGAGCATCAAAGAAAAATAGGCCTTGATGAAAATTGACGCGTAGAAATCTTGCAACGTCGAGGTAGTTAGGGAGTGTAGCAGAGAGACCAACTATGCGAATCATACTTTGAGTTGATTCAACCTGAAAAATAGTCGGGTATTAGACAGAATAAAATGTTCTCGTGGTAGTACGCATATTGAACAATAGAACGTAAACTACACACATAGAAAACGCACAAATAATTGTACCAAACCTGCAGCAGACTTGTAGCAATGCTGTTCCAACAGGATGCGTTTGCACTGTTTGTTTCCCAGCTTGTTGACAAGTTGTCATCGACTTGTTGACAACTTGCTACAAGGTTATTGAGCTCAACAGACTTGTATAAAATAACAGCATCGTTACAACTTGTTGACAAGCTTGCTACAAGGTTATTGACCTCAACAGACTTGTTACAAGTTGTTCCAACAACTTGTTATCGTCCTACAATTCAACAATTTGCCAACAAGTTGTGAGTGACAACCTTGTAGCAACTTGATAAAATAACAGCATTGTTACAACTTGTTGACAAGCTTGCTACAAGTGAACACATCTTGTTGACAAGTTGTGAGATTTTGACGTGTGTACTATAAACAAAAAACAAAGAAACAATCACCTGTCTTAATGTTCTAGCAACAAGACATTCAATCACAGAGCCTCTCTCATCATGCAGTAAATGAACTTCATCAATGATCAATAACTTGACAATCTGAGTTAACGCAATGTCACCCGAACTCTTGCGTGTTACAACATCCCATTTCTCAGGCGTTGTCACCAACATCTAGTGAAGGAAACGATTTATATTGAAGGATTTTGTGGATGCAAATTTCAAGTGTGAATTTTATGTTGTGAAAAAATGCAACTATCAGTCCTCTGGCAGGAATCGAGCCTGTGGCGCTGCTATTCTGCTCCACAACTGGACTCTGTAGCTCTGCTAGCTCACTTGGTTAGAACCAGGGATGCCGGAACTGGGGGGGGGGGGGGGGGGGGGGGGGCAAAGGTGCCATTTCAATTTAAAGGATTGCCTTGGCGAAATAGCAAATTGTCAGAAATGTTAGTGCAATTCTTTCAAGAATTTGCTTCAGAAAACGCAAGAAATGCAGTCATCGAGCTTCAAGAATAGCACAATTGCCTGGCGGAGAACCCCCTCACACCCCTATCATCCAATAAATAGAAAACATGATTAGGTGAAGTTCAACTCCCGATGTTTTGCAAACATCTCTTAGTATATATCAATTCAAAAGTGCCCTTTCACAAAAATCTGCCTCCCTTGCCTTCACATCGTTCCGGCATCCCTGGTTAGAGCTCAACAACTGGCCTGTAGCTCAGTTGGTCAGAGCTCGACAACTGGATTCTGCAGCTCAGTTGGTTAGAGTGCTGCACCACAGGTTCGATTCCTGCCAGAACGCCTGTAGTTGCATTTTTCGCAAATGAACATTGACAGTAATTCGGTAATCACATCTTAAAACTGTCTGTGTGCATGTTAATTATAAACCATCACCTGTGTTGTGAGAATTTCAGTTTTGGTCAACTGCATATCTCCAGTCAATTCTCGGACAGAGATTCCTAAAGGAGCCAGACGTTTGCCGAATGTTCTCACCATTTCTGCAGCAAGAGCTTTCATTGGAGCCACATAGATTATCTAAAGATTATGGAACAAAAATGTTTTGAATAAGCCTAAAAAAATTTCCTTACGTACTAACATCAGAGGAATTAACTTTGCTCAAAATTGCCCAAGTGATTTTTAATCTTTTTCTTGTAGTTCAGACCCAGACCATGGCAGCTTATATTGAAACATTGAGCAATTCGAGCTGGTCACTTGATCAGGAACTCAATAATTGTCTATTGTTGCAACTGCACACACCTTAAATTTATCCTTCATGACCACGCCTTGTTTGATATTCTGTTTCACTTCTCTCAATACGGTTGCCATAGCAACATTTGTCTTCCCCGCCCCAGTGGGTGCACAGATCAGAAGATTTTCATTTGTGTTATACGCTGTGTCAAACACAACAGACTGGACACGATTGAGCTTCTTCACACCTTTGAAACCAATCTGAGCAACCTACGATATCAAAGCATGTGGCTTGTCAGAACAAGTACTTAATAGAGAGTCCATAATATGACATTCATGGGTTAGGACAAGACAAGGGTATTTAGTTTGGTTATTAACTGATGGTGCATTAAACCAGCTAAACCATTTACCAAATGTAATAATGTACCTCGTCCAGTGAAGAAATATTGATAAATTCATCTGTTTCTTTTGGTGGTTTGGACTGTGTTGGTGGCAGGTGAAATTCTTCATACATTTTGCAGTCATATCGAGTCGTATCTTGTGGCAATTGAAGCTGGAGAAACAAAATATTATGAATCCTACGTATTGTCATTGACTGTTTATCTGGATGACGACTAACATGTCCACTGACAGACCTAATCTACATGTATGTCATTATTTAATGCCTCATAATAAAGATAAAAGAAAATGCTCACCTTACATCCACCAATGTAAGCACCAGACTGTTGAGCAGCAATTAATGAATCAAAAACATAGGGATATTTTATGACGTCTCGTGAAGATCTTGATGTTTTACTGAATAATGGCTTGCTGGCTGCCTCAATCAATGCTTGTTCTCTATAGGAAACAAAGAAACAGACATCGATAATGGGTTATGTAATAACACCATTTGGACTGATGATCATCCAGAAAAGCTTTGCTGAACATATCAACATATTAATTGTTAATCCATTGAGTGTTCCATTGATGAGTAAAATCGTCTGGCATTAAACAGAGTAAAATCATCAGAGTAAAATAATGAAGTATGGGGTGCAATGGGTGTTAAACTTATTGGGTTAACTAGACACATGGGTAGTCTAACCAATGAGTGCCTGCGCTCTCACATTGATGAGTAAAATAGTCTGGTGTACGTTAGACAGAGTAAAATCATCAGAGTAAAATAATGAAGTATGGGGTGCAATGGGTGTTAAACTTATTGGGTTAACTAGACACATGGGTAGTCTAACCAATGAGTGCCTGCGCTCTCACCTTGATGAGTAAAATGGTGTACGTTAGACAGAGTAAAATCATCAGAGTAAAATAATGAAGTATGGGGTGCAATGGGTGTTAAACTTATTGGGTTAACTAGACACATGGGTAGTCTAACCAATGAGTGCCTGTGCTCTCACCTTGATGAGTAAAATGGTGTACGTTAGACAGAGTAAAATCATCAGAGTAAAATAATGAAGTATGGGGTGCAATGGGTGTTAAACTTATTGGGTTAACTAGACACATGGGTAGTCTAACCAATGAGTGCCTGCGCTCTCACCTTGATGAGTAAAATAGTCTGGTGTACGTTAGACAGAGTAAAATCATCAGAGTAAAATAATGAAGTATGGGGTGCAATGGGTGTTAAACTTATTGGGTTAACTAGACACATGGGTAGTCTAACCAATGAGTGCCTGCGCTCTCACATTGATGAGTAAAATAGTCTGGTGTACGTTAGACAGAGTAAAATCATCAGAGTAAAATAATGAAGTATGGGGTGCAATGGGTGTTAAACTTATTGGGTTAACTAGACACATGGGTAGTCTAACCAATGAGTGCCTGTGCTCTCACCTTGATGAGTAAAATGGTGTACGTTAGACAGAGTAAAATCATCAGAGTAAAATAATGAAGTATGGGGTGCAATGGGTGTTAAACTTATTGGGTTAACTAGACACATGGGTAGTCTAACCAATGAGTGCCTGTGCTCTCACCTTGATGAGTAAAATGGTGTACGTTAGACAGAGTAAAATCATCAGAGTAAAATAATGAAGTATGGGGTGCAATGGGTGTTAAACTTATTGGGTTAACTAGACACATGGGCAGTCTAACCAATGAGTGCCTGCGCTCTCACCTTGATAAATAAAATGGTGTACGTTAGACAGAGTAAAATCATCAGAGTAAAATAATGAAGTATGGGGTGCAATGGGTGTTAAACTTATTGGGTTAACTAGACACATGGGCAGTCTAACCAATGAGTGCCTGTGCTCTCACATTGATGAGTAAAATGGTGTACGTTAGAATGAGTAAAATCATCAGAGTAAAATAATGAAGTATGGGGTGCAATGGGTGTTAAACTTATTGGGTTAACTAGACACATGGGCAGTCTAACCAATGAGTGCCTGCGCTCTCACCTTGATGAGTAAAATGGTGTACGTTAGACAGAGTAAAATCATCAGAGTAAAATAATGAAGTATGGGGTGCAATGGGTGTTAAACTTATTGGGTTAACTAGACACATGGGCAGTCTAACCAATGAGTGCCTGTGCTCTCACATTGATGAGTAAAATGGTGTACGTTAGACAGAGTAAAATCATCAGAGTAAAATAATGAAGTATGGGGTGCAATGGGTGTTAAACTTATTGGGTTAACTAGACACATGGGTAGTCTAACCAATGAGTGCCTGCGCTCTCACATTGATGAGTAAAATAGTCTGGTGTACGTTAGACAGAGTAAAATCATCAGAGTAAAATAATGAAGTATGGGGTGCAATGGGCGTTAAACTTATTGGGTTAACTAGACACATGGGTAGTCTAACCAATGAGTGCCTGCGCTCTCACCTTGATGAGTAAAATGGTGTACGTTAGACAGAGTAAAATCATCAGAGTAAAATAATGAAGTATGGGGTGCAATGGGTGTTAAACTTATTGGGTTAACTAGACACATGGGCAGTCTAACCAATGAGTGCCTGCGCTCTCACCTTGATGAGTAAAATGGTGTACGTTAGACAGAGTAAAATCATCAGAGTAAAATAATGAAGTATGGGGTGCAATGGGTGTTAAACTTATTGGGTTAACTAGACACATGGGCAGTCTAACCAATGAGTGCCTGTGCTCTCACCTTGATGAGTAAAATGGTGTACGTTAGACAGAGTAAAATCATCAGAGTAAAATAATGAAGTATGGGGTGCAATGGGTGTTAAACTTATTGGGTTAACTAGACACATGGGCAGTCTAACCAATGAGTGCCTGCGCTCTCACCTTGATGAGTAAAATGGTGTACGTTAGACAGAGTAAAATCATCAGAGTAAAATAATGAAGTATGGGGTGCAATGGGTGTTAAACTTATTGGGTTAACTAGACACATGGGCAGTCTAACCAATGAGTGCCTGTGCTCTCACATTGATGAGTAAAATGGTGTACGTTAGACAGAGTAAAATCATCAGAGTAAAATAATGAAGTATGGGGTGCAATGGGTGTTAAACTTATTGGGTTAACTAGACACATGGGTAGTCTAACCAATGAGTGCCTGTGCTCTCACATTGATGAGTAAAATGGTGTACGTTAGACAGAGTAGTTGCATCCCTACCAATAAATATTTGTTCATTTTATTGGCACGCACTACCTACACTGGCAAAGACAGTTTCATTAATAATAAACTAGGGCGTGCTCAGGCACAATGACAGTTATTAGCAAACTTGCCGGAAGACTAGAGAAAGGATGCAGTTAGTGAAAAAACACTCAGACTATGGAGAGAAGTCACACAAGAAGACAATTAAAATCAAAGCTGAAGAAGGAAGCAGGCAGAGAAGGTGTAGACAAATGGGTCATTCCAGAAAACATCCACACCACCCCCACAGAGGAAATAGGAAGTTAACCCCCCTACCCCCTTTGGATGTCCTAAATAATACATTTACTATTGTCAGAAACAATTTTTTCTCCCCTCCCCCTCTGGATGGCAGAAATTTCCTCTGTGGGGGGAGTGTGGATCTTTTCTGGAACGACCCAATACTATTTTATTTATTTCTTGGTAGTTCCCCCATTTCCGCTGCCTAGATGTTTACCTATGATATTTCATCATTTCAGGATCAAAGCCAACACTCTTAAGATAATCTTCATGGTTTTCTAAATCCCGGTCCTCAATCTTATTTCGCCTCAAAGATTTCTGCTCTTCTTTACGAACTTGTTTTTGGATTTTCTTTTCTTGCTCCGACTGAAAACATTGTGAAGCTTGAATTACCTTGTTTGAATGTGTAAAAATTATACCCATTGTGGTAAACATATTAAATTTGCAAGCTCTTGGAAAGTAACTTGCTCTTCTAAAGAGAATAACAGTGTACCTGAATGGTCACTTGGCATCCATAATTTGGTTTGGCCAAAGAATTTTTGGCAGTTGTTGCAAAACCTCGATAAAATAAATATAGAAAATTGTCAAATAATTTTCAAAATTTTGGAGTCGGATGGCAAGATTATAAACGAAGGCAGATGTTTGAACAACTAAGATTTACCTTTATTGTCATTCACAGTTTCAACAGCTCTCGTACTACCACCAGTAATGATCTTCTCTCTATTGGAAAGCAGTTCTTCAATGAACTCAAAACGATCAAATCCAAGCAACTCAAACAGCTCATTCTGCATTTCCTGATTTCCTCGACGGGAACTCAACAGATCAAATATAACTGAACACATGTCCCCGCTATTCAAATGTTCGCCTGCATTGCCAAAATAAAAATCACACCTCTGTTTAAGCCAAGTAATATCTCCTGGTTCATCAAGATTCGTTGGAGTTACCCAATCTTCACGATTTTCCTGGGCAATTTTTACACCCTCGGCCTTACTTGGTTCAGTAACAACTTTTAGGGAAAATTTCGGTTTTTCATTTTCAACTTCGGTGTCAAACAATGTCAAATCAGCCTCAAATTCCACAGGTTCTGGGAAAGAAAACTTGATCCCCTCACCAAATGCATGCTGATGTTTGTGTTTTGTTGACTTCTGTTGCTTTCTATTTAACTCATCTTCAGGAATATTACTAAGTAATAGTCGAGTTAATTTGTAGGCATCGTCAACTAAGCTCCGGTCGCATGGTCCAAAGGTTTCTGCAATTTTGGAAAGCTCGTTTTTGGTAACAAAGCTAGGTTCTCGTAGTAGTTCAAATAAAAATATGGCAGTGCTGTTAGTGACTTCGGAAGAAGCATCTTTGCCAGCTGAAAAGTTATAAAATGGAATCAATTTAATAGATGTACATTTGACCTGAAAATTTTTTCGGAAATTTGTGAAACTTACCAATCTCATAGGCGATGTTCAATAAATCTCGTAAAGCATTTTTTACCTAAAAAGCAAATTCAATTCATGGTTGATTTCTTCCTGTCACCCCCTTTGGAGACTTGCAGACCAGCTCAAAAAATTTCCCCAGGGGTTAACTGCCTGGGGGGATGGTAACATACCAACATGAAGAATTGCACCATACATTAGAAACCTCTATTGTGGACCTTGTGAATATTTTCACACAAATAACAATACTTGATACAATTACACAACAATAAACAAACAATTAACTCATTACAGTAATAAATGAATAATTACAACATTGGAAAAAAATAAACATAACAAAACTAACTGTAGACTAAATATATTCGATTGAAATAAAACAAGAAATACTTTATAAAACACATATTTTACAAACCTCATTCTCTTTGTCTGCTGCAACGTTCTTCTTAACCAAGCGGTTTAAATCTTGCCATGAAAAATCTTCTTCCTTGCTTTGTTTCGCTTGCCATTCGCGCTTTCTCTTCAGTTCGTCTGGCCGACCATACTCCTGCCCTCTCAAATACGGTGAAGTGAGGCCAGAAAAAGCTCGCAAAGAACTGGTCAAACGTGGCAATTCCACGTTCGGTTTCCTTGCACTCATAGCAAAGTTAAACGCTCACATTTTGAAGTATTTGTGGCCAAAAAATTGAAAAGTTTTCGACAAATTTTGATGAATCGCAACTTTCTTTTTGTATGGTGTTAGCCTGCGTGGCTGACGGTCAGCCCGCGAGGAACACCTAAAAACGGGCGAGATTTCTGTATTTTGAAGAGACACTGCTGACATACAGCCGGCGCGTATAAAATTAATCCACCAATTTTTAGATTAAAAATTAAAATTATATAAAGATTCTTCACACTAATCTAATCCTAATCCCAAAGAGCCACCCGGAATAATCTCTCACTGACTTCAAAAGAATGAGTGGATTGATCTTCTTTCCCCAGATTTCTTTATTTTGTACATAAATATATACGTTGCAATATATTACGAATAAATAATATGCATGTTAATATCAGTTTACGTGTGAACGTGCTTCCCAACAAAACAGTAATTATATAACGAAAGTGGCTTTGTTTTTCTCTCTGTGCAACGTATAGGTGAGTTCAATACTGTCGTACAGTAGATACTGGTCAACAGAAAGTTACAAGAGAAAATGATGTCAATTGTTTACATGTAAAGTGAATTTAGTTCAGTATTGCCCCTACACAGAGTCGACACACACCAAGTTAGCGCTAATATGTTGCTCTATAACTAAATGGAACAATACGGCACAAAGGGGTCAACTCTAACAAGAAACGTGACTTGCGTTTGGTAGCAAGTTGACCACCTCTGCTGCCATATATATACCAAAACCTCTCGCCCGAAAAAACTTGTCTTGTTTTGACATTCAGGAATTCAGGCGTCGCAATTCCCAAGATCGAGAGGTTCAGATTGAATTCCACTACCGCAACAATCATTAACCAATCAAATAGTTTAATCGCCCCGATTAACCAATGAAATGCGTGTTTTGCCCGTGAGAGGTTGCGATGACGATTTCACGACGTTAGGAATGCAGTCGTATTCCGTTTTGACACGAATACAAGACACGTTTTTTCAGGCGAGAAGTTTTGCTAACTGTATGAAAGTATTCTGTACAAATTTCAAGTTGAAGCTAATCAGCTTTCGGCCACGCAACTATTTATTCGCCTCCAAAACTTGCCTCAACAGGTCATCGACTGTGTCACCATCTCCCTCGGATTCCACGTCAATCTCGGGCACCAGCACTTGTAGTAACTTACACACATTTCCACGGAGAACTTTCAGCTCTCTCGTTTTCTCGCTCAAATCATTTTGCTTTGATTGTATCTCCTGTTTCTTCTCTTCAAATTCTTTATTCCTTCTTATCAACATAACGGATTTTTCATGTAAATCTTCTACCAATTCGTCCAATCTGTTTTTCCCTTCGCTTCTAACTTCAGATAGTTCACTCTCAAGTGTCTTCACTCGACTTTCGAGTTCTTTGATTCGTTTCTGAGCGTCGGTTTCTGATGGTTTTTGCTGTTGTGTCGGAAGCGGGTCGATGACTATAATCGTAGCATCCCGTTCCGTTCGTTGTATCTTGGCAGGAATTGGACTCACATTATTCCCAGGAGCTTCGCGTTTGATTCCAGAAGCCAAAATACTATACCAAAATAGATTTTAATGGGTGTTTGTTAAACCTGGTTTACACTATCAAAGTTTCTGTGATCACAGTAGGAATTTTGCATCGGTAAATTCTAAGTTGAGAAAACATTACATACTTCTTAACATCTTGTGGTGTGGTTGAAGTATTGCCAGTGATTTCTGAGTAAGCTGTCGCGGCCAAGGACAGGGATGGTTTAACATCAGCATTCTGTTAGAATATAAGACCAAATCAGGGCCCGCGGAGCGTATTAGAGAGTGGGGGGGCTAAATCATCAATAAAACCCCCAATTAATTAATTTAGAAAGTTTCATTTAGATTTCTATTTTAATAATTTTGGCTGTCAAAAAAAGTGGGGGGGCTAAAGCCCCCCCGTCTCCGCGGTCCCTGCAAATACAGTATATGGGAACAAAACATAAAAACAAATTCAAAAGGCATCATTATTGTTCAGGATTAGGGGCATCTCATTCGGTAGAATTGAAGGGTTATTTTTGATGAACCAAACCAGGAACAGTTTTGTAAAATGCAACTTTAGGTCCTCCGGCAGGAATCCTTTTGTTATTTTTCGTACTACACCAGGTTTAGTCTGATAAATGTATAAAATTTAAAGTTTGTTCGTTCACTGCAACCAGGTATATCAATCATGTTGCGCTCGCTACTCTGGTTTAAATAAATGATTACAAAGCCCAGTCGAATTGTAGTCAAGACCCAACGTTTCGACACTCCAGTCTAGTGTCTTCATCAGGGGTGATGATTGCAACTTTAGATCACCCCTGATGAAGACACTAGACTGGAGTGTCGAAACGTTGGGTCTTGTACTACTGTCGTTTGGGAACAGTGAAAGCTTACCGCTGGACTTTTAGCCACAGTCCTTGTAGCATTTTGTGTTGATGAACCATTCTGTTGTCTAACAGCAGCAGCAGTTTTGGCAGTAGAGATCTGAGGTTTGGGCATGACATTGAGGCGAGGTTTGACATCAACATTAGTGCTTGGTAAGGCAGCCACTATAGGTCTGGCAGAAATTGGAGTTGAATTGGTTTGGCCAGTCGCAGGAGTTGACTTGGAGCCGACTGCAGAAATCTTTAAATGAAAAACAAATTATATAAGAAACTAAGTTAGTTCAAAGAAATAAAGTGTAAGGAAACTGAAAATCTTTCCCTTTGTAGGTCAGCCTATGGAAACCGTCAATAAAATTAAACAAAGGAAACAAGATCCTGGGTTATCCGCCCAAAAATTAAAAACAAATTACCGCAGCCAAAGCTGGTCCACTTGCTCTAACCACAGTAGCGGTGGGTTTTGTGCCGGTAGTGGTCGGAGTTCCCTGGGATTTTTTCTCCTGTACTAGGTACGTAGTCCCGTTCGAGGCTTTGACCATCTTGAATGTTATACCTGTAGTACTCAGTTTCTGAGATTGTGTAACAAATTTGAGCGATTGACCAGCCCCAGGTTTTGCTTGAACGATAGTTACGTTTTGTTTAGCTGGGCTTTTTGTTACTTGGCTTGGTTTACTAGCCAGTGACTGCCTGATGGGCGTTCTAGATGCTGATTGGCTAGCTGCAGAAATACTAGTCATTGATTGGTTGGTTTGTGCAAACCTAGATGCTAATTGGCTGCTGTTTAGTGGAGATCTAGGAGTGGATTGGCTTAGTGAAGATTTAGGTGTTGATTGGCTGGCTTGTGTTGGGCTAGGTGTTGATTGGTTGGAACGAGCCAATGAAAGTGCAGGGGATGGCTTGGATTTCGCTGGACTTCGTGCTGATTGGTTAGTTTGTGGCGTGCGAGTTGCTGATTGGCTGAGGCGAGCCGCTAATTGGCTGCCTATCTGTCGTGGTGATGGTTTTGCAGAGGGAGTGACTGCATTTAAAGGTTTCTGGAAAAGTTAAAATAAAATAAAATATAAACAAAAATAATTAACAATTAGTTAAAGTTAGTGTGTTCGGACTTCGGAATAATCATAATCAATACAGGGGTGACCTAAATACGTCAAAATAATAATTTCAATTTTAACAAGTTTTATGTTAGTATTAGGTTAAGATTTTGGTCAGGTAAAGGGCAAGTTTAGCATTAGAAGTCTGGCCTCTTAAATTTTCGTATTTTATTTTGTTATGACAATTTTTACCGTTGTTGATCTTGGAGCAATTTGCGCAGTCGGTAAAGAACCACCTTCAACTTTGATTTTCTGAACAGAATAGCAAAACAAAGTGTTACTTGTACTGTACTAAATGCATGAGGAAAGATCTATGTACGGTACAACAGAATATGAATAGTACTTACCGGTTTAGTGTCTTTTTCACGTTGGGCCATTTGTCTACAAAAAAAATTAAACGCTATGTGAGTATTCATTAGCGATGCGCTGGATCCGGATACCGATATCCAATATCTCGCAAACTCCAGACATCCTACAGTATGGCAAATTTTCTCAGTCAGTAACCGGTAATAAAAATTGATGGCATGCGACGAAATCGTATAGGATCAGAAATGGAAGTGCCTTTTCAAGAGTAATTCGCGAGTTCTTACAAGTTGAATAGTTCTTCCTTCTTCTTTAAAATTTCCTCTCTTTTCTCCAAAATTTTGTTCTAAAGGAGGACATATTAAAGATGAAGAATAACAATATAAAATTTAATGAATGGAAAACTACAACCAGTCAAAATAAAATATATTAGTTGATAATACTTAATAACAATTTTCTAATGTGGGCAACTCTCAAATATGGATACTACTCTATAAGCTAAAATTTAATGAATGGAAAACTATATTAGTCAAAACAAATAATAATAATAACAAAATGTATTAATTGGGTCATATTTTTACCTTCTCTTCTTGCTCCAGTAGTAATGCCAATTTTGCAGCCTGTGACATAAGAACATCAAAGTATCAACCCCATGAACCCTGTTTCGTCAAATTATCAACCCCGTGAACCCTGTTTCATCAAATTATCAACCCGATTTCAGGTTTTGACGAATGTTGTTAGTTAACGATGTCGCCAGATGACGTTGGCAGCGTGTTTTTCAAATATCATTTAATTAAGCTGAATTGTGTGTCACTGTGTAAACATAACTTAATGGTAATGCCGTAATGGTAGTCAAAATGTGAAGCTCTCTAACAATTATATTGTGGGAACACAGGAATATCATATAGTTGATAATATGATGGACATCACAGCATTATACACTACCTTCTCTCGGTGTTGCTTTTCTTCCATTTCTTTGACACTAAAATTAATTTAAAAGTGAAGTTTGATGTTAACAATCAGGATTGGAATTTCCGTAAAACCTGTCCACGGAAATGACATTAAAATTGGCGTGGAGAGCAGCAGTTCTGTACAGTAATTCTCAGCAGTTCTATGCCATTTCACATTCCATCACTTCACACTGTAGTTAACTTTAATTAACAACCTTTTTATACAACTGGCGCCTGTATGCCAGCAAGTTCAGCACTGTCAACAATGTTACCAACTTACAGTCGTCTTTTCTGTACTTTTTCATAAGGTGTAATACTGGTCTTTTCCTCTTCTTTTTCCTCAGGCACATCACATGACTTGAAGTTTGGATCAGGATTCATGGAACAATACCATTTCTCAGGTAAAGAGTCCGGGTCAATACCATCTGGTAGTTTACGCCACTTTAGGCACGTCCGTTCATCACATTGTGCCCAGGTTTGATCTGGGAGTGCTCTGAATGAAAGTTAATTGGTCATACACTGGTTATTATAGGTGGTGTTGGTTTCTCATTTCTTGTTGCAAAACCACTGGTACACACATAAAAATGCACAAGTTGTAACAAAGCTGCAGCAGACTTGTAGCAATGCTGTTGCAACAACTTGTCAACAAGACGTGTTTACACTGCTTGTTCCCAGCTTGTTGACAAGTTATCAACGGCTTGTCAACAACTTGCTACAAGGTTGTTGAACTCAACAGACTTGTGAAAAGTTGTTTCAACAACTTGTTATCATGATGTAATTCAACAATTTATCAACAAGTTGCGAGTGACAACCTTGTAGCAAGTTGATAAAATAACAGCATCAATTACAGCTTGTTGAAAAGCCTGTTGCAACAACATTTTGTTCACAAATTGTGAGATTCTTATGTGTTAAGGCTGTGTTTTCCTTTTTTGTAAATATTTTTATCCAGTCTCTTACTGTACTTCCTGTGGTTCTGGGATCACTTGATCTGCAATACTGTTAGTTGATGACTTCACAGGTCCTTTCTTTTCATTCCTGAACACAAAACATAAACAGCATGAGTATGTAGCATAGTCGTCAGAGCAATTGTCTGAGATTGTATAATGCTCCATTCTTGCCTCATGACACAAAAAGAGTTGCAGTAGTGAATGCACTTGATTACCAGTATTCCTCCCATACAGAATGTTGAAAGCGTGGGTTGGGATAATGCCAGCCTAACACTTAGTTGTGTTCCATGATAACATAAGCCAAGCAAACTCACAACTTACCAGTACTCATTCAACTTCACTCCAAGTGAGTAAATACAAGCTCTAGAAGATGATGAAATGTATATTTTCATTTGGTAATACAGACCCATGACAAATTAAAACTGCCATGATATCAATCTTGCATTCTTACCTGTACGCCTTAGTATAGTCAAAGTCTTGTTTATTGTGAGTTGGCTGAAGGAAATCACACTGAACAACGCCAACCACACCAACACCCAAGTTGTTTGCCTGGAATTCAAGAAACCTCTTAACCAATTGATGCAAATTTTCCCCATGACAAGTACAGACACCTCTCTAATACAGACATCTCTCTAATACAGACACCTCTCTAATACGGACATCTCTCTAATACGGACACCTCTCTAATACAGACACCTCTCTAATACAGACACCTCTCTAATACAGACACCTCTCTAATACAGACACCTCTCTAATACAAACACCTCTCTAATACAAACAACTCTCTAATACAGACACCTCTCTAATACAGACACCTCTCTAATACAGACACCTCTCTAATACAGACATGTCTCTAATACAGACATGTCTCTAATACCAGCACCTCTCTAACACAGACACCTCTCTAATACAGACACCTCTCTAATACAGACATCTCTCCAATACAGACACCTCTCTAATACAGGCACCTCTCTAATACAGACACCTTTCCAATACAGACATCTCTCTAATACAGACATGTCTCTAATACAGACACCTCTCTAATACAGACACTTTTCTAATACAGACTTCTCTCTTAATACAGACACCTCTCTAATACAGACACTTTTCGAATACAGAAATCTCTCTAATACAGACACCTCTCTAATACAGACATCTCTCTAATACAGACATCTCTCTAATACAGACACCTCTCTAATACATACATCTCTCTAATACAGACACCTCTCTAATAAAAAACCTCTCTAATACGGATGCCTCTCTAATACAGACACCAATGTCCTGCCCACTATGGGATATGGATTTTCAAGGATGGATACCAGATGAAGAGTTGAAAGATGCTTAAGTATCCACCTAGATACTCAGCTGAAAAGTACTCCAAACCTAAGGCATTTTTGCCTAATACCTACCTTTAACTGATATCCAACTCTTTCATAAGGTTTGATTAATCTATTTCGATGATACATCATGATACCATAATGATTCTTATTCCGACTGTTGAAGCCAAATACAACTTTTAATGGAGCTGTGATTGCATGCTGAAGACTGGAGTTAAGAATACTTTAATTAAACAAATTCATTAACACCCAACACTTTCCCCTTGACAAGTTAAAATTTGTCTGATTTCGCTCAATGGGTTAACAAGACACATGGGCAGCCATCTGGTTAACTCATTAATTAATGCCCAACACTCCCCTATGACTAGTAAACTTATCTAGCATTGAACATGTTAAGCAAATGATAGGTGCATCATGGAATACATTAGAGCTTTATAGTAAATGAGTTGTTAAAATCAAGGATACTGTTGGTTTATATCGATCAACTTCAGTTTTACTCAAGCTTCTTTCAACCACCAAAGTCTTCACCTTCTTCCCTCGTATAAAAATTTGCATCTTTGGTTTGAGGTACAGAATGGCACAATATGCCTACAACATTGATGCAAATAATATAAATATTATATAACTGAACTTTAATATTACTGGACAGCTCTGTCAGTTCTAAATTGTTTGACATATATGTCCAGTAAGGGCAATCCTTATTCCTCTATTGGTTACCATATTACAGAAGGTAGACTACGAGGGGCCTCTCCTTTCTACACGTTTAGATTCCCGGGCGTTGCCGTGAGGGGCATGCCTGTAGAAAGTAGGAAGTTATGGAGCGACGCTACCTCCAAAGTCTAAAGGGCCAACTCCAAACCAAAATATACACTTGAATAACTTGTGTAATTCAAAACGTATGAGTTGAAATATGAATTGTGGAGTTACTGGCAAACTCCAAAAATCATTTGGAGCTAAGAATAACTCCAAAAATCATGAAAAAACTAGGTACCTAAGCCTTGAGTTACTGTCTAACTCCAAAAAGTATTGTGTAGCGAGGCAAGCCAGCCTAGCCGCTAGGTATGTATAAAGCTTGAAGTTACTCGCTGTGTTGCTAATTCCAAAAATCATTTGGAGCTTGTTATCTAAGCCCGGAGTTACTGTCTAACTAGAATAACTGCAAGAATGCACTCTCAGAATGCACTTCTATACTTGGCACACTTGGCATTGTGTTGTCGTTCAGAGGCTAAATTTTGATCTGCAGTTGCGGCAAATGCAGCGCAACTGCCGATCGTACCTGCTACCCTTGTCATGCTCTGTTGATCGCGTGTAAGACGGGCTCTGGGTACGAGAATGTGGCATAGTCTAGCTCCATTTAAAGATTGGCTACCTCCACAACAATAAAATCTACAGGTATGATGAGGGGAAAGGAGGGACAGCCAACAACACATAAAGAAACAAAATACACCCACTTTTCTCTCTTGTCAAGGCGGCTCCGCCTTTGCGTAATCATTAGTTATATCCAGTTAAATCTACCCAATAGGAACTGCTCATTTAAGCCTGTTATGTTTATTTATAAAATCAACATTCAAGTCTGGAAATTATTTATAGCATAAATACTTCATATCAGATTTGATTGACAGCCATATTGACTTCGACCAATGGGAATTTCACATTGTGTGGGTAACACGTATTTCGTTTCTTGATGTGTTGTCGACAGTCCTTCGTTTCTCCTGGGGGACTGCTTGCAGTCTATACAGGAGGAAACCAAAGTACCCATACAAAATCTATGCTGTTTGGTATTGTCAAACTTCAAATTCGAAAACACACTTCTCGCATGTGACTTCAGATACGGTAAATTATAATAAACTATTATAATCAACGACAAAATTTTTGATGACATGAACAGCAAATTGTCTTACCCTGAGAGAGTAATCACACTCGGGAACATGATTCTGTCGTTTGGTTTTACGATACTTTTCACTCTCGGAACTTGTGTCATCAGGAATCCGAATATCACACTCGTCTGTCACGAAGTCAAACTCTGGCTTATTGTCTGTGGTCTTACGGATGTTGCTGATAATTATCCTGGTTCCATGTTCACTATCAATACCATCAAATTCACTATTTAACTCTTTTTCAGACTTTATCAAGGAGTATTTATAAACATCCATCAATGCTTCGGCCCCACTTGGGCGGAGAATATAATGTATTAATGGTTAAGAAAAACGATTAAAATCAGTCAAGCAATACGTGAATAAGCTATAAAGTATTTTTTTCAAGAGACAGTTGCCAAGCTCTAACCGCAAGTTCATAATACTAACTAGGTCTCAGGTCTGGTTAAAGCTCAACAACTGTCTCTGTCCGTCTCTGTCGGCCCTGGGACAAAGCAAATTACTTGCAAGAAATCGCTGCATAACTGATAAAAACGCAATGTGAACGATGTTAAGCTAACTGTTTTTGCTGAGAAAACGATAGAAAAATCATTTATTTCACATTTGGTACGTTTTACGATCGATCATGATGATTTCCGGGCCCCTCTGAGCACTCCGGGTATTTTGCCACCTCTGCCCCCTCTTGCCGGCCTTGGTCTCTCTGTAGCTCAGTTGGTTAGAGTACTGCACCGGAATCACAGGGCCACAGGTTCAATTCCTACCAGAGGGCCTATAGTTGCATTTTTCGTTCCTGGTTAGGTCTGATAGATGTATAAAATTCACTCAAAATTTCCATGTACAAATCCCCTAAAGTAATGTTCTACATATTCAATAGCTATACTAAAAATTATTACTATATCTGTGGCAGACACAAGTTGGAAAATGAAAGAACCCCTTTCAATCAGGGCTCAAAATAACGGCCGGTCAACGAACAATGACCGGCCAAAAATGACTCTTGACCGGTCACTTTTTTAGCTCACCGGTCATTTTGACCGGCCACATTTTCATGCCTTCCAATGTGATTGCTGACGTCTAGAATTAAAATATGAAACTATGATGTATATCGAAACAAGTTTCTAATAGTTTGTTTCATTGTTAGTGTAAGCGTATCAATGATATCTCTAAAATCAAGTTGACTGGTCATTTTGACATGCAACCTATCTCCCGTTATTTTGAGCCCGGCTTTCAATAATTTCTCATTGTATACATATCATGTAAGGATATTATCATTTCTCTTATCCCATGTTGCTATTGGGACGACAACAGTTTCAGCTTTGATCTTTGCTAAGTATGTCTGTGATAGATAACCAATACTTCTCGAGTTTTCTTGCTTTGTCAGAACTAGAGCATCTTTTCCAAGTCGCATCGAACCAGACTTGAAACCGTTACCATAGTGACCTACTGGCATGTGGCTACCATCAGCAACCTGCATAGTAAGACAATTAATGGTAATCAGGGCTGCCCATAGGCTTTTTGGGGCCTGGGGCAACACTCTGTATGGAGGGCCCAACCTAACCCCCCCCCCCACCCCAATGCTACAGGGATATTATTTTTTTCTTTAATGTTTCTGTGCCCCTCAAGCTTGGGACCCGGAAAAATTGCCCCTTTTGTCCGCACTAATTTGACAACTAATGGAAGTAAGGTATCAGCTTACGGTAATCTTCCTGCATGTATTTTTTGCAAAAAGACTTTTTGAAATAAAAAATTGTGTGTGACTGTGACTTAAATTACCTGGTAACTTCCTTGACCACC